GAATGGAAAAATAAAACATACTCCAAACCACCAACCAGATTATTACTAAAGCCAATAGCCGAAAGCCATTGGTTTTCAATGTCAACTGCACCACTACCCGGGCCAAACTGGCAACCTCGCTGTGGGAGTTAATTTTGAGGCCCGTATATTCATCTTAGATGCGTTGGCTCATCGACAAGGTGAAACTGGTCCATTCTTTCTGTTCGGTCTTGATGCACCAACTCAAATTTGCCTGGTTGGTGGTATACCTACCCCTCTGAAACAAATTAGTCAGTTGGGATGATTCTTCCTAATATATGGAAAAATAAAAATTTCATGTTCCAAACCACCAATCAGTTGCTGTCATTGTCAAAGCAACAACCTCAACGAAGCTAGGCTGTCGAACGTCACTTGCTAAGGACGGACAATGGGACGATGATGGACAATGTTCCATCCCAATCCAGTGGCAAACTGTGAGCCTCTTTGAACTTCTCCTCGGTGATATCCACACCCTTCTTCCAATCCTCCAGTGGCGTCCCGGCGTCCCGGCGGCACGTGGCGTCTGATGCTGCGTTTCTTGGTCAATCATTTACCAACAAAAAAACAGAAAAGTCAAACGCTTGAAACTTGACATGAAATGGCATTCAAAAATGAAAACCCATTTGAACTTCAACCATTGACTGATCATTTCACAAAAAAATTGCTGGGTCTCACGAGCGCTTCAAAAACTGCTGTCCATCCAATTCACCTGCGGATGATCAACCGAGCTCCGAGGCTTAGTGAATGTGACCCAATACAACAACCAACTAGTAGGTAGAATATAGCTTAAGAATGAATATGGTAGAATATTCACTATGCAAATGTTCGATTGCAAACCAGTACGAGTCATTTCCATCTATTTCCCAGAGATCCTATAACTTCAACAACCAAACTATCTAACCATCAAAAGCCCCATTGTTGATGGTTCAAGAGTTAAACCGCATTTTTCTTTGTGAAACATCCATGTTTTACATGGCATTCCACCCTGCCCAACCCGCAGGTCTCCTCCACGTCTTCCTCAGTGAGCTCGATCTCGCACCAAGGGTCTTCAGCCTTCCCCACGGTCACCTTCACCATGTCCTCGGTCAGTTTTTACTATGGGAAAACATAGGAACACCATGGGAAAATCATGGGAAAATCCACTTTAAATGGAGGTTTATAGCTGGGAATTTTCTAGATATAAAGGGGGGATGTCCCAGTAATTATCAGATTCGGTAATTTCTTAATCACCAAGATATTCTAAGTCCATTATTAATCATAATTTGTATATTCTGACTGACTGGGGGAGTTATAGCTGATGTTTAAGTGTTTAATCTTATCTGTTTATAGCCTTCTAGCCTTATAACTAAATAACCACAAGTGAATTTATCTTTAGCTCGTTACATAGTCAATATAGCTATATCACCTGTGAATGTGAACAGATCAATGGGATATGTACCCGTTCCAAGTAATCAGCCATGGAGAGGCAGCTGAGTTACCATCCATTTTTGGGGGGTGCATATAATCTTGAGCCATCTTGAGCCATCAACATCCATTAACTAATTAGTCCTTCTGAATCCAAGTCCAGAAGGTGTCCTTTCCAATCCCATCTTTGACATCTAAGAAGAACTGTTACTGGAATTGCAAAATCAGCAGAGGTCCAGGACAGCCCCTTTTTGTTGGTGACCAACATAGACCATACACAATTCACCCAATAGTTCTTGATTCACCACACTTCACCACCATCCAATAGTTGTTGGGACTCTTAATCGATTTAGCGCATGAAATGTGGACGAAGCTTGCCAGGTTCGGGCTCCGTTCCATCTTCCCACCAAATGACTTTGAGAAAACCACGTAAAACCGATGCAATTCTATCACGATGTCCAACCCAACTTTGAGCACTGCTTATACCAAGTTGGCCAAGCCACGAAAACGAGCAGAGCAGGCCGCGCAACCGACGGGGCCACTGCAGTGGGCTTTTGTTCTTGTTGGACCGATGCTGCGGGCAGAAATCCATCAGTGGCCCGGTGACTTCCTCCCAGCAAAAAGGGGACCAAAATCGAAGACAGTTGCAGTGTGAAGCACAGGAAAATACGTTAAGTGCCCTAACTATTCTTAACGTTCAGAATGCACTGAATACTCTGTACTATCATACTGAAGGTACTGTATCAGTGGGTGTATGACTCTACGCTGAGCATCACACCAACAGCGCGGCATGGCGGCGCATGGCCAAACCCAGATCTTTCAAAGGCGCCTCGCGGAAGCGCGGCCGTGGCTGTGGCGACCACTGGGATAGCAATGGCTGCTGGTCATGTGTATGACCAGGCCTAAAAGCATCCATTCTTTGGGGGAGTCACATGTTTTCTTTTCATAATAAGTGTGAGATGTTTTGATACAGAGCCACGTCAACACATAATATATATATATATATCAACTGGAAACCTTTCTAAGTATGTCAGAGTGACTGCCTAGGTCCTATCGTGGCTGATTCTGAAAACCCCTACAGTGGGGTGTGGTAGCCGAGTCTACTCATCTTTCTCAAGTAAATCATTTCTGGCTGGCGGTTTTTCAAAGCACCTCTGACCAAAGGGTAATAACAGATCAGTAAATATCACCAACCAAGAATTTCTAAGAATGGCAAGTACATGGGGCATTAGCTTGCAAATGGGTGCTTGCAAACAGGTGTCCAAGAATAACCCAGTCCATTTGAAAATTGTCGGTAGGAACCACTGACAATACCATCTACATCCAAAAAACACGGCCTATGAGAAATAGGCAGCCTCTTGGGATTCCAAACATGATCTTCATAGTGACTCTCATTTGGCAGTGGGTCAAAACCCTATCCCCCTGGTGAACCCCAAAATAGCTGGGATTTATGGATGTTCATCCCACTAAAAATGGTATTTTCATAGGTATTGACCCATACCCATTTGTAAGCAGCAACACATGGACTGGACGTTCATCGGGGCTCCGGGCATCAGGGGTCATGCAGCCCATGGACACATGCAACACACAGAGCCTCAAAGGTTTCCAGGAATCCTGGAAGAGCTGTGAAGTCACGAAGTCTCGAAATGTCTCGAAGTCAGGTGCCAATTTTGTGATGGTTAATAATGGTTAATAATGGTTAATAATGGTTATATTATCCCATTATTAACCACTATGTAATAATTAATATAATGTCTCGAAATGTGATGGTCAAATGTGATCAAATCATCCCACTTTCCATCCCTGGTTGGTGGTTGAGCCTACCCCTCTGAAAAATATGAAAGTAACTTGGGATCATTCCCAATATATGGAAAAATTAAAAATGTTCCAAACCACCAACGAAATCCCATTTCCATCCCACTTTCCTATTCAAACTGGACCACGGTGGCTCACCCTTTCAGCTCCCGGCAAGGTGTCGTTGCGAATGTAACGGTTCCCCATCTCCAACACCTGACTTTGCCAGGCACATCAGGAGTGTGGAATACGTTGAAAAAAATTGGTATTTTTAAGGTTTTTTTTTCTGGGTAATGGGATGTTAATGGGTAATGATTATGGGATGTTTATGGGATATAATATTCCAATGGTATGGGTAATGATCATTATATTAATTGTTATAGCATAACATTGGATGTTAAAAAAAAAAAAAAAACATATTTTCATGATCCGCGCCAAACATCAGGAGAATGATAGTTAATGATAGTTAACTGATGTGCTGGTTAAACGGGTCAAAATCCTGTCCTGGTGTTTCACAAACACCTGGAGCTACAGCAGGAACAGGTCCAATGTGATGGTCGAAGACTCAGACCAACGATGGTACTACACTATGTACAATACGTATACGTATATGTATCATTATCATAAAGGAAACATTTCATTATCATAGTCATTGGTATAATAAATATAATACTAAGTATCATGACAATTATCACCAGCATTATCATCACTATCACTCTTAAAAATATTCTTAGTCTAATACTACCTTGTTGCTCACAATATTTAAATGCACACAACAAAATATATAGTGTTAACTGGGTAATTATAGTCTTACAAGTCAAGGCTACTTATTGAGTCAAGGGTACAATATATCAATTGTTGACTCAACAAAAATTATTGTACCCTTGTCTGGTTGGTGGGTTCAACCCCTCTGAAAAATATGTGTCAGATCGGATCATCATCCTAACTATTGGGGAAAATAAAAAATGTATAAAAATGTTCCAAACCACCGACCAGCCATTAATATTCCATTACCAGAGGGTTAATCACCATTAAATCACCACTAATATCCCTATTAAATCACCATTAAATCCACCAACCAGTTGTTGAATGACTTGTTATGCTCAACCGGTGCCCTTTGTGCCTCCAAACACGGAGGGATGATGGCGTCCAAGTCCTGGAAAACGGACCATCCAAGGCAGGTTGAGGGGCTGGTGTCCATCCTGGAAAATGGGGAAAAAACATGAAACACATCCAAAAAAATAGAAATTATATAGCTATATATAGCTATGATAGATGAAAAATATTGAAAAATGTGCTCAAAATCCTGACGTTTTGAACTGGAACCCAACTACAGTTGACTTTGCAAGGTAGTAGGTCCTTCCCTGGTCTAGGGTTCCGGTTCTGACCCATGTATCCTCCGCATCTTCAAGTTTTGAATTCCTTGGTTCCGACCGATTTTGATGACAATACATACATGTATGTATCAATTATATAGATGAATTCCATGATTCTAATTCATTTTGGTCATTCCATCAGTATGCCATCCCAGCAAAAAAAGCGCCTCTGCCACCAGGGATGCTGCGATACGCTGGAAACTTTGCTGCCTTGGCGCTGGATGTGCCACAGATAATGGCCACCTTTCTCTGCTGACAAGTCTGGGTTCTGGACGCAGTCGTAAAGTCATGCACCTGCTGAAGGTTAGCAAGTAGTGACTGGCTGGTGGTCTCCAAACCCCCGAAAAGCTTCAGTCATTGCAAAATCATAGTCTGAAATAGGGAGAATATGGATTTGTCCAAAAGCGAATGAAGGTGGGAGCATCCCCAATTCTAAGGGTTTATCAATGTCTATCATCATGGTTCCGTTACAATTGGAATTCTAGGGTGTATCTTACCAGACAAATCCAGACAAATCCCTCTACAGTAAGAAATCATTGAAACCACCAGATGTTTGTTCAATCTGGATCATTTACAATACCCTCTGGTAATTTAACATAGCTATTGAAAATGACCATTTATAGTTGATTTTCCCATAAAAAATTGTGATTTTCCATAGCTATGTTAGTTTACCAGAGAGTAAATCCCAAACCCGATTTCTGGATTCTTAAAGCCACTTTTTTCTGGCAGCTTCCCCGCCTTCAACATCATGTGAGTTTCTCCAAAATCTCATGACTGATCATCATGTTCCCCCAATCACAGAAACATCGCCATTTTTATTGGGGCTAACTAGATCCTCGAACTGATCCCAATATAGTGACTTAACTACATCCATTTCTTCGGATTGCGCGTGATTTCCCCATCTTCAACGGATGGCGCCTCACCCCGGTACCTGCCACCGTGCCGCCGTGAGGTCTCCAAAAAACACATGGATTCCACCAGTTTTCCAGTGGGATTCTCTTTGGGCACTTGAATATAATAATTATTTGAGCAGGTTACAAGATATATCCATGGATCTGTGGGAAACTTTATGAGGGCTTGGAGTACCATTTTAGGAATGGGATTGCCATTTAAATGGTTGAAGTTTCACTGAGGAGGCACAAAACAATGGTATTATCATTTCCAAACAGAATCTCATATATATATATAATGTTAGCCTCAGAGTAGTAGACCCTGGTTGATTAACTTGGGGGTCCCCTGAAATAGTGATAGTTGGCTACACAAATGGTAACCCCACAATTAAACAGCCTAGTGGTTTATTAATCCGGGGTTGACATTACATGTGTATATATATATATATATACATATATATATATATACATACATACATATGGGGGGGTTCTTACAATGGGGGATCCCCAAGTCACCATAGGTTTCAATACTAAGTCATGCTCGAAAAAATGGATGACTGGTACCATGACCAAAAGGAAAGCTCTCTGGGCTCCGTGATGTGCATTTCATGTAACCTTTGATTGTCATGGGATATAAACAAAAAATGGGATTATATAATGGGATAATTAGGATTTATACTGGGATTATCATTGAACATTAGGATTTATAACGGGATAATAGAAAAAAACAGACTACCCTCTGGTAATTTAACATAGCTATGGAAAATCACCATTTTTAATGGGAAAATCCACTATTTCTATGGCCATTTTCCATAGTTATGTTAAATTACCAGAGGGTAATCTTTGATTGTCATGTGTTGTAACTTCTTCTTGCAGAGCCTCATTGATCCAACTCCATCTCCTCTGATCCCAAATCCCAATGACCCGTGATGCTAAACCCATGGCATGATGAGCACTCAGGGATCATCAACGTCCCTGGTGAAATCCCGAGAAATCTCAAGGTACCCTCTGGTTATGTCAACATAGCTATTGAAAATGGCCATAGAAATAGTGGATTTTCCCATGAAAAATGGTGATTTTCAATAGCTATGTTAGTTTACCAGAGGGTAATGTTCATGTTTATTACTGGACATGTATAGCGGCCAGGTTTTAGCACATCAATTGACCCTGCACTGCAGCTTCAGCGCACAGGAATTCGTCCAAGAGCAGCAGAACCTGCCAACGGCTGGGCGACTGTCCAGCGAAAAAAACACGTCATTCGGAAAGAAATGATGGGCAACTGGGATATATCCCAACCATCATGGGAATGTCATGAATAGGAAGATTATTGCAAGTCTATGTAATGCTGCACATAAACATTTCAAAGTTAAAAAGGTGGATATGTGTTGTCCAAACATGGATGCCCCAAGCAGGATGACTTTCCAGCTGTCAATAATAAATTGTGATAGTGGTGCGAACAGGTTTGGAAACACCCTTGCAAAGAGTATGTGAAAGTGGGCTGAGCGGCAAACAGAGAACAGACTTGTAACATCTTGCATGTGATTTTTCAGTGATATCATCATCATGTTCATTCATATTCCATACCAATTTGACTTGCAAGTCTATGCAACTCCAAATTCCTTCCCCAACCTTCACCTCCAGCCACACAGGCACTTCTCCATCCGGATGGTAGACTAACCAAACATCAAACCGCGTCCAAGTTGGATCATCCAAAATCGTGGCTGCTTGAAAAAATGCTTTGACCCACCTCATCCATCACCCCATCCCCATTCCCCATCCAAGGTAGTGCCTCACAATTATTAGATCTTCGTTGCTGTATATGTATCCTCTTTTGACTTTTTGACTACCGTAGACACTGTAATTCGATATATCTAGCCTTTTGCCCAACAGTTATTGGAGTTCGAAACTTGCCAATTTAGCAAGCGAACTGAGTCACCACCATTCTTGATGCCTGTTCATGATTGATCATTGTTCCCATTCTTGATGGTTTTACCATGCTAATCCATGTGAAAACTTCATGGTTTCCCAAGGTTTCTATAATAATCCCCAATAACCCCAGTAGTATAAGCCCCTATTCCCTAACCAATCATCCATGCTAATCCCTGTGAAAATTTCAGGCTTTCCCAAGGTTTCCCATTTTTCTAAAAAACTTACCCATTCAAATCCGGTAATTTTTTTTAACATCATTTCTCGAGGCTATCCACAGCCCCTTCCCCACCTCACGGTACTGCAAGGGTTTTTCAATGCCCGGAGACCATGGGATCAACCGCTCCGGTACCGTGCCCGCTGTGCCCTCGCCCTCGACCGCCGCCGCGCTGGCGGGCTCGTCGGGCGGCGCCGGAGCCTGGCGAAATGGAGAAGTTGATGTGGTGGGTCTATATTAGTATATGTATATGTCCATGATGTATTACATAGATATAGATATGTATATATATATGTGTATGTAGCAATATATATATATATAATATACATATAATATACTATACATAATATATCTATATATATAATGTACATATACTACATATACTATATATATACTATATATACTATATATACAATTATATACATATCTAGATTGATAATTTTTGGTCCATCTAAACCAAACACAAAAGTCCTTTCCCCCTTCCAGAGTTGCTTATCGCAAAACCTGAAGAGTTCGAAAAAAGGATATGGTGAATACCATGAGTCTATTTATTTCCAGTTTTAGATCTATGTTATTTTATTCACCATTGGATATGATATATGATTTTATACATATGTATATATGTATATATGTGCATATGTACATATAGATATATAGATACATAGATATATAGATATATATGTATGTATATATGTATATATGGATATATATGGGTCAAAGTTTTAGACTCAGGGTGTCTAGATCCAATAATTGAACTAGCACTGCTGTCTGCCGAATCCGGAATGTTGAATAGGTGCACAAGCTACGTACCACAAGTATTCAAAGGCGCTGTTGAATAGGTCCGAAATCTTCTATTGACCACTTTCGGTGCAATTCCTGATGGCCAGGACCCTACAGTTGCAAAGATGTATCTTTTCCTGTCAGAATATGGCAAACCCCAATATGAATCACTTCAGCCATCACCCTCTGGAGTGAACATTCATAGGAACTGCTGCCACACTGCCAACCTAGAATTTGGGAATGATTAATCCTCCAACTCAGAGTATAGCATGCTGTAACTTTCACAGTTTTGACTACAACATACTACAACCAAGTACGACAACATGCTTTGTTTGTCATCAAGGATTATCAAATTATAAAAGTATGATTCCCATTTACAACTCTGGACTCCTGTACACTCCGCTATGTGGATGCACATGGCTCTCAGTCAAACTTGGGAGACCAATTTCAATGGACATAAATTAAACCATCTATTAAACACAACCAAGTCTTAAAGTGTCCATAATTAACCATCTATTGAAAATTAAACCAATACTAAGCCATCGATTTTCGCGGTCGATCACTTGTACCCATACCCATCTTGCGACCTCATCTCCAGTTCCCATGCTGCCGTGTCGCCATGGTCGATTGGACGACTGGATGTCGACTGGATGTCGACTGGATGTCTTGGATGTCTTGGATCTGGCTGTACCAACCCAACTACAAACCATCATCAAATGAATTGCAAAATATGGCAGTGTGTCAAAACCCTGGTACCCCTGGTGAACATCAAAATAGCTGGTAAATGGATGTTCATCCCACTAAAAATGGTATGTATAGGTATTGAAACATACCGACCCATATATGAACTGCGCTAAATGTGTCGGTGCGTTCTACAAAAAAGACGCGCCGACTGGATCTGAAGGTCTGGGATCTGAAGGTCTGACATTCTGTCTGCTGATCTTCCGTGCTGCTTGGGTTTGGGAAAAGTACCCCATTGTCCGTCCATTTAAATGGGAAAAGTTAAACAATTGACCGATCAAGCACCAAATTTTGGAGTGGCCTATTTTGACAAATGTGTCACCTGCACAGCTTGTGTCGGTCCCTTGACCTTGTCCATGGAGCTGTGTGTAGGGAATCCCTACACTTGAACCAAGACATCCCATGTCTTTTCTCATCTCCCAACTTTGCACATATTGCGGAAAGTTGTCTTTATTACTTCAAGGCAGTTCCCTTCCCCAAACTGCTCTTCGGCCCGTTCCCCCAAGGTCAAGTGCACATTTTTTCACTCTGCTTCGCTGTGCTGCTGTTGAACACACAACTTCAGCAAGGTGAAGAACACTGGAGTTGCTGCTGAAACAGCCTTGTCCACGTCAAAGTGTGTAGATGTGCGTGTGGCCTATCAAAGAGATTGTCGCAGCATATGGCCAAGTTCTCTCTTTAAACAACTATCAGGATGGGAAACTCTTGTTTTGCGGACAAACGGGAATTATCTTGAAGACTCTTAAAGGGTTCATCTTTCAACTAAAGGTGTGTTTGCTGGAACCTGTTCTTTGCCAACTTTTCGTCTTGACTGGCCCTTCTCACCGCCCTCGTCGTTAACTGGTCACCCCGCAGGGTCTTCTGGATGTGTTACCTAAGAACCCAGTGATTGGCACTTCCAAGGGGTTGGGGCCGTTCAAAAAGGACTTCTGAAGTCGATGTGTTTATGGATGGGAAAATCCCAATTTTGAATGGGAGAATCATGGGAAAATCATCCATACATGAACGGACCATCATGCGCAGCGGGGTTGACTGGAGGTGTCCCTCCCAATATGCAAAGATACAGAAAGGTGTAAATATATATATACACATACATACACAGGTGATTACCACATGTGTCCCAGCAGTTTTGCAGCAACCACAAGCCCTGCCCCCTTCCAAAGGATAACCTGCGGAGAGTTAGGGCTCGAGCCCGAGTATCATCTCGTAGATGATGACCTGGTGATGAAGGGACCCAAGAGGTTCAGAAATCATTGGGGACCTTGAACAACAACGGGTTTCCGGTTGCTGAAAATGCACCGGCAACTGCTGGATGGATTGGGTCTCCAAAGTGGAACATCAAGCGATAATCCTGAAAAAAGGGATGATACATGCAGTCAAATCAAGGCCTCAACAGATTTTCAGAAAAGATGTCTTTCCAAGAAGCAAAGGCATGGTCTTCCTGGAAGTGCGGTTCTAGTTATAGACGATTTCACCATAGTTATAGGGGCCCCATATCCCAACTTCTGGAGCTTCACCAAATCCCAAAAAAATGATTTTTTGTTGAACCAGCCCTGGGCGTCATCGTCAACACTGCTGCCGACCCCACTGCTATGCCCCGCACCAAGACATTCATGGCCACCAAGGGATATCGCATGAAGGTTCGCATCGCGTGAAGGAAGCTGGCCACCTCGACACACAAAGGGCGCCCCCACCGAAGATTGCCATGGCCATTTTGCTTTTAGACGGGGGTAGCAATGGGTCGCATGTATCTATATCGTATATGGATATATAGTAATTAGTGAGATGTGTAATTGTATGTGTATATATATAGTATATATATATATACAGTATATAATATATATATATACACATATGATTATATATATATGTATGTGTCAATATGTGAACCACTTACATTTTTAAGGTGCCAATACTTGGTGTATACAGTTGCCATGGTGCCCAGATTTTATGTTCATCTGCCCAACGAGGTCAGTCTGCCTCTTTAGGCGTAAGATTTGACTGTTGGACCCAGCCCCAAAAAATATATCGTCTCAAAACCTCTAAGTTAAACGCTAAACGGATTGCAACTTGGAAATGGCATGGTTTGATTAACACCAACTTCTTGTCTCACATTTAACCCATATCTCTATATCTTTTTCGCATTGTAATACTCATTCACATTCACTCGTGAAATCGCAAAAATCCAGGAAAAATCCAGCAAAAGTATCCCATTTGCTGGTTAAAAATCCCAGTTAGAAATCCTCCAAAAAACACCACGGCGCCGCCTGGTTCTTGGGTCCCAGGTTTTCGCCCACAACGGCACTGTCCAGGCCATATTTCCGCCTAGTGGCTGGTAGCTGGACGTTTTGAGTGAAACCAGCAATATATGTATTATGTAATATATTTATATACCATATATGTATATAATATAATATAAGTATATGTTGTATAAATATCATTAATATGTAATATGTATATATAATATGTATGCATAATATGAATATATAAGATATGATATATATATATAATATAAATATATATATACATACATAATATAAATATAAATGGTGGGTTATATTTGATATGATAGATTGGATCCAACGGAAGTGTCGTGGCAACATAATTGTGATGGTGATCAGGGGGTTCATAAAGCGGGGGTACCCCAAGCTATCATCATCCAAAATTTGTCATCATTTATCAGGGAAACCAATGATGAAATAGGGCGGCCAAATGTAAGACCAATCTATCATGGCGTGGCATGGCATGATATGTCTTACTTGGATATCCCCTTGTAGCAGGTAGTGAAGCTGGTCACTGTTTTTGTTTGATATGCCAAGATGCAGGATGTTCGTCGGATTTTCCGACCACAACACCACTCTGAGACTCCGGACAAAAATCTCTTCTCGTTCAAGATGGCGGCTGCATTCATCAGAAGCAAACCCGCCTACGGAGCTGGGTGCCAGTTGCACCATTGGCTATGCTTGCAACCATAGCCATGTCCAAATGTCCAACGCAACCACAAAGCCTCCGAAAGAAGGCTTCAGGCATTTCGAGCCATTTTTATGGATGGAATCCATTGGATTCCATTAATTGTACCAAGCCATAAATTTTATCCACTTATCATCCACTTATCATTGGATTCCATTACCCTCTGGTAATTTAACGTAGCTATTGAAAATGGTCATTTATAGTGGATTTTCCCATTAAAAATGGTGATTTTCTATAGTTATGTAAACGTTTACCAGAGGGTAATTGTAGCTACAGATCATCCATGGATTGGCGCCTCGAAGAGATGAACCAAGCCAATCGCCATGCCCCAAAAGCGAACACGGCAATCCCTGCGGCCTGGCCGTGCATCAAAAGCTATGGATGGGATTTCACCACTCAAAAGCTATGTGATTTTTCCCATGAAAATGGTGATTTTCCATAGTTATGTTAGTTTACCAGGGGGTAAAATGTACAACTGGTTGGTGGTTGACCTACCCCTCTGAAAAATGATGGAGTTCGTCAGTTGGGATGATGACATTCCCAACTGAATGGAAAAAGAAAAAATGTTCCAAACCACCAATCAGCATAGTAAATATGTGTGTCATTTTGTATCTATAAACGTACTAGATCATATTAGTACATATCACATATCTATATAGTCTATATCTATATGATTTACAAATGCTGTACATCTTCTCTATCTTAATGCCTACCCTCCGGTGCATGGCAATGGCACATCCCTTGCAAATAGAAGCAAATAGAGGTTTCCATGGAAAAACATTGACATCATTTGACATCAACATTGCGGATTTGCTGCCATGTTTGATTACAGGGTATAATCAAGCAGTTGATCCGCACCACTGCTGGGATTTCCAGTTGAAAACAAACCGCCACCTTCGTCGCGTGCCGCGGTCTCCGCGCGGTGCGCGGCACCCTGAGCCTATGCTTCATGACATGGAAATGGCCAAACGGATTACAACACCCACAATCATCATCATAATATCAATATAATAGTAGAAACATAATAATAATCAATATATAATAATAATAATAATGATAATAATAATAATAACAACAACAATAATGATAAGAATAATCATCATCATCATCATCATCATCATCATCATCATCATCGTAAGTGGATACGTACTGTATGTGTGTGTGTTACAGTGTGTTCAGCGGCATCTATCTAGTTTCAAGGCAAAATTGTAGCTAACTTAATCTCGGGGGAAAGGTTTCAATTCCCCAAGATCTCTCCGCGCTGGTAGCCTCACACTCTCCTGCACTGAAAACAAATAAAAATGCTCCGGCTCTTCACATTTCCTAGTAACCTATGAATGGAAAATTATCCATTGCCAGCATTAGACCATCAGAGGAACCAAACATCAAAGATCAAGCAATGGGTGTCATGAAAATTCAAACTGAAATGGCTTTCGTGGAAGGCACACACACATATGATGAGAGAGTAGTTTTTGCCTCCAGCAATTTTGCATAGCTATTGTATGGAAAATCAATGAAAATCACTCATTTATACATGATTTAAACTGATTAAGAATGGTATCAGTATCTTCCATAGCAAACTGTTGAGCTACCAAAGGTACTTCCCAAAGAATTTCAGCAATCCCTCGACCTCTGCGATGCTTTTCACCTCTTTTCGCGTTGCAGTCGGTCGTCAGGTCCCTATTGGGGTAGCCAACTGAAGCTGATGGATGCTACCCAGTCGAGCTCACAGACATTAACTGGTTGCGTGTTTCATCTTGCCAATTTTCCAAAAACAATCTGCGCATAGCGAATCCCTTAATGTACAGTATCTATTCGTTTCGGGTCCCTTATCAGGTGAATTCAATATTTGGAAAATTCACGGGGTGGAATTAGCTTTGTTGGGATTGCTTCAAAAATTACCGAGCTTTTTGCACGTCGACATTGCAGATCATTGTAGCAGTTCTTCATCTGCTGATCTCAGCTGGATCACAAGTGAAGCAGCTCAAACCCCGCTTCCAGTGGCCATGTCAACCGACAAAAAAAGTGGGATTTGCTTCATTGATTCAGGCTTTTTGTCACCAAGAGCCCCACAGAAAACATCGGTTGGATTCTTCCCATGGTTTTCGGTGCCACGATGATTTTCCCAGCATCCATCTGGCAAAGCGAGAGTTTCTCTAAACGAACTATTGGGCGATTTCTGGCAATTTGGAAGCGATTTGTCTCGAGAAGACCAGATCTATCATCGGACATTGAGCCTTAAATCAGTATCAAATCTGCGCATGTGAATCTGGCAAACAAGTCAAATATAGTCAAGTCATAATTGGTCTATTGGTAGCCCAAGTTGGTGCTTCGAACCATCCAAATCAGGGTCGATCAGAGCGTCAGGATATATGACTCAAGCTAGGTAGGGTCAATAACAATTGACCACAATGTCAGCTAAATATAGACAATCATATAAATTGGAATGGTCATAATTAATAAACATACATGAACATACATGAACAACTTCTATGACATGAACATACATGAATAAGCTTCCACATTGGGAACGTCTCCGGATTCGCCTCATTATACCTGGGCCGTTTGGCCCCTATGTACAAGCCACTGCTCACGGCGATCTTGGAGTACACCTGCAGCTTACGTAGTGGCAAGCCAGCCACTGGTTTGATGCTGGGGAACAGAATTTGATGCGAAGAAAAAAGACGGCGGTCTATGGTATTTGACTCTGAGTCTTGCTGTCTACAAACTCTAGTTTGTGGTTCCAGTCGAGTACTTATAGCTGGTCATTTTCTCGTGAATTGGGATGATGAAAACAAGAAGTGAAATCATCAATCATCAATTATTATAATTATTAATCTGTTCTATCCGATCACACCAGTCTAATCTTCGGACATATCTTTCCAGTGTTTACTTACTAATTCTCATTTCCAATTTCCACATCGGATTGTCGAATCCCTGTGGAGTGGATCTGAGATGGCTGGGGATGCAGCAAAATCCTCATCACCAATGGCAGGGTGCGGTACCAATTTCTGTGTTCTCACACTGAAACGTGTCCGTCCGGTGAAACCTCAACGTGAAACGCTTGCAGCTCTGCAGTGGTCGATTCAACCACTGAAAACGCTGCGGAAAAGCGCTGTGGTGGTGTTTAACACGACAAGGTTGGCAAAAGATGACCAAAGTACGAACCGAACCCCCACCAAAAAATAGATGGAACAGTAACTGATCACTATTCTAGTGGCATTTTACCTATCTTTTTGGAGGTCACTTTACTTGGAAAACCGAGAGTGATGTGCAAACATTGGTCAGCACTGCTGCCTAGTCATTCCTGGTTGGAGCTGTTTTGGCCAACCCTGCTCGACTCTACATTCGGACCAACTCTGATTTCGATGTTGGAATGGGAAGATCCAGGACATCACCAAAAGGGTCAAGAAATGGTCCTCTCTGGTGGTGGTTTTACCATGCTTTTAGTGGACTTGAGACCAGAGTTGGTGCAATCCTGATTCGTCCCAAATGGGACAGAAAACTACCTGGATTTGCGTCCTCAAATCGCGGATCCCGATCGTCAATTGGATATGGATCACACAAAGACGCTTTCACACGCAAAAAGCAGGGTAGGGAAACAAGCTAAGAGGAATGTGTCGACCTTTGGTTGATTTTCGTGACTAAAATTGCCATTTGGAGGGTATCCCTATTGTCCAACCCCTCCCAAGCGCCATACCCAATTGAGCAACACCATCCTTTCAGAAGTTACCCTCCGTGCTGTCGACGCTATTCCTGAGGGGGTGCGACCAAGTGGACACTGAAGGGGAAAATGATCAACGACGATAAAAGTTCGACTGGTCAAACATGAAACCAGTATGATGTTTCGACCTGGGTGATATTTTCAAATATTCAATTTCAACAGGACGAAAACATGTATGTTGAAACAGACTGAAATACACTACTTCAATGTCCACTGGGAATTAACGTGGTGACTTTCTATGCATCCGTTCCAGCTTGGGTTTGAATGACCCGCAGGACCCCTGACCATGCTGTCAGGGCCAACCAAGATAGAATTGATTTGCATCCCCAATCTCATCTATAGATATGAAACTTGTTGTTCTTAAATATTCCAAGTTCATGGAAAAATTGCCACTATTTGCCAACCGGAAAGTCCCTTCCAGTAAGGCATCTCCAACTGAATGCGCTGAATGTATATTTAATTTATTCTATATACTAATTACATCCAATTACTTTGGTAGTTGAAGGTAGAATTCCGTCTCATGGGCTGTCAAGGTTGTCCTTATATCAGCAAGTGGTAAAGGTAGAAACAAGTAGACGATCTATTCACCTTCGTTACTTCCGAATCATACCCCTTTTTTGAAGCCTTATTGACGATTGGAATTTGTTGATCGTATTTTGGAATCCAAAGCCCCACTCCAAATCCAACCCCCAACTTTTCTTGCTGATACATGACCCATTCAAGACAACAACGGCGAACTTTGGCACTGGTTTTACCAGATCTGTTGGCTTATTAACCATTTCATTGACCTAATAGGCGATGATATACGTGGATTTGCTGGTAGTCTCACCAAGTTGTCATAGTAAGTATAACCCACGTGGCTTTAAACATACAACATTCATACATGTTGGATAGATGTTACTTGGATTGTTATTATCCATATTTGTGTTGGTTATAAGTTATGTCAGTTATATCCCACATCATTCCATCATTTGGCCATATATACATGATCCGTATATTCTTATATTTTATATATATAATGTGTATGCACGCATCGCATGTACATCTACATATACATCTATACATATATTATTTATATTATACATAATGTATATCATTTCATTATACACCACATACCCAGGTGTCTCCATACCACTGAACAGTCCAAGGGGCTCTGGCCTGGTACTGCCAGAGCCTGGTCGGCAAGGAGGCCGTGGCCTTGGCCTTGGGCCTCGCAGCACCGAAGTCCAGCTCCGTGAATTCCTAAGTCCGGTGATCTGAACGATGAGGCCTTGGACTTGGGAAAGGTCTAGAAATGGAGAAATGGATACCACAATTTGTGGCCGACCTCCAATGG